ATTTTCAGTTTTTCAATTTTCCAACTTTTGGATGTTTCAGTTTTTAAAAATTTTTCACTGTTCTGATTTTGTAATCTTTCCTTTTTTTTTTTCAATGTGAAACTTTAATTTTTTGGATTTTACAATTTTTCGGTTTTTCAAGTTTTAGAATTTTCAATTTTTCGTTTTTTAATTTTAGTTTAGATTTTTCGGTTTCTCGATTTTTCAGTGTGTTATTTCTTCAAATTTTGATTTACAATTTTTCTAGTAATCACTTTTTCGAATTTTCGATTTTAAAATTTTTCCAAAATTTCTCCAAAGCTATTTCATATTCGATTTTTCAATGGTACAGTTTTTCGATTACAATTTTGAGAATTTTACAATTTTTGGGTTTCCAATTTGTTGATTCGATTAGTTTTTTTTTCTTTTCAATATTTCAGTTATTCGTTTCTTCAATTCTTCGGTTTGTGATTTATCCATTTTTCACTTTTTTTATTTTATAATTTCTCGTTTTTTTTGTTTTTCGATTTTTCAATTTATCGTTTCGTGTTTTTTTAGCTTTTTTTTCAGATTTTCTGTTTTTCACTGTTCTGATTTTATTTTTCTTTTTTTTTCACTGTGAAACTTTAATTTTTTGGATTTTGCAATTTTTCGGTTTTTCAAGTTTTAGAATTTTTAATTTTTCGTTTTTAATTTTAGTTTAGATTTTTCAGTTCCTCGATTTTTCAGTGTGTTATTTGTTCAAATTTTGATTTACAATTTTTCTAGTTATCACTTTTTCAAATTTTCGATTTTAAAATGTTTCCAAAGTTTCTCTAAAACTATTTCATATTCGATTTTTCAATGGTACAATTTTGAGAATTTTACAATTTTTGGGTTTTCCAATTTTTAGATTCATTAATTCTTTCTATTTTTAAGTTTCTCGATTTTTAGTTTTCCAATGTTTCAGTTATTCGTTTTTTCAGTTCTTCCATTTGTAATTTACCGATTTTTCACTTTTTTGAGTTTGCAATGTTTCGTTTTTTCTGTTTTTCGATTTTTCTATTTTCCAACTTTTGTATCTCATTTTTTAAATTTTGCAATTTTTCGTTTCGGTTTATTTTAGCTTTTTTCAGATTTTCGGTTTTTCACTGTTCTGATTTTATAATTTTTCCTCTTTTTTTTTCAATATGAAACTTTAAATTTTCGAGTTTTGGAATTTTTCGGTTTTTCAACTTTTGGAATTTTGAATTTTTCGTTTTTTCAATTTTAGATTTTTCAGTTTCTCGATTTTCCAATTTGACGTTTCTTCAAATTTTGATTTACAATTTTTCTAATTTTCATTTTAAATATGTAATAATCATAATTTTTTCAAATTTTCGCTTTTTCAAATTTCTCCAAAACTTTTTCACATTCGATTTTTCATTTTTTCAATTATGATTTAGACGATTTTGCAATTTCTCGAGTTTCCTGTTTTTCCATTTTTCAATTTTATTCGATTTGCAATTTTTCGAATTTTGAAGTTTAAAATTTTCAGTTTTTAAATTTTCCAACTTTTGGATGTTTCAGTTTTTAAAAATTTGCATTTTTCACTGTTCTGATTTTGTAATTCTTCCTTTTTTTTTTTCAATGTGAAACTTTAAATTTTTGAATTTTGCAATTTTCCAGTTTTTCAACTTTTGGAATGTTTAATTTTTCGTTTCTTCAAATTTTGAGTTGCAATTTTTCTAGCTTTATTTTAAATGATTTAATTTTGCAATTTGTCGTTTTTCGGTTTTTCGATTTTTCAATTTTCCAACTTTTGGATGTTTCATGTTTTAAATTTTGCAATTTTTCGTTTCGGTTTGTTATTTTCTTATTTTTTTTTTAATTATTGTTTTTTCACTCTTCTGATTTTATAATTTTTCCTCTTTTTTTTTCAATATGAAACTTTAAATTTTTGAGTTTTGCAATTTTTCGGTTTTTTTGCAACTTTTGGAATTTTGAATTTTTCGTTTTTTCAATTTTAGATTTTTCAGTTTCTCGATTTTCCAATTTGACGTTTCCTCAAATTTTGATTTACAATTTTTCTAATTTTCATTTTAAATATGTAATAATCATAATTTTTAAAAATTTTCGCTTTTTCAAATTTCTCCAAAACTTTTTCATATTCGGTTTTTCATTTTTTCAATTATGATTTTGAAGGTTTTGCAATTTCTCGAGTTTCCTGTTTTTCCATTTTTCAATTGTATTCGATTTGCAATTTTTCGAATTTTGAATTTTAAAATTTTCAGTTTTTCAATTTTCCAACTTTTGGATGTGAAACTTTAAATTTTTGATTTTGCAATTTTCCAGTTTTTCAACTTTTGGAATTTTTAATTTTTCGTTTCTTCAAATTTTGAGTTGTAATTTTTCTAGCTTTATTTTAAATTATTCTATTTTGCAATTTCTCGTTTTTTCGGTTTTTCGACTTTTCACTTTTTTCCGGTTTTTTAACTTTTCGAATCGAAAAAATGGAAAAACTGACAAATTATAAAACTGAAATTTTTCGTTTCTTCTGTTTTTCGATTTTTCAATTTTCCAACTTTTGGATGTTTCATGTTTTAAATTTTGCAATTTTTCGTTTCGGTTTGTTTATTCTTCATTTTTTTTTAAATTATTGTTTTTCACTCTTCGGATTTTATCATTTTTCCTTTTTTTTTCAATATGAAACTTTAAATTTTTGAATTTTGCAATTTTTCGGTTTTTCAACTTTTGGAATTTTGAATTTTTCGTTTTTTCAATTTTAGATTTTTGAGTTTCTCGATTTTCCAATTTGACGTTTCTTCAAATTTTTATTTACAATTTTTCTAATTTTCATTTAAAATGTGTAATAATCATAATTTTTAAAAAATTTCGCTTTTTCAAATTTCTCCAAAACTTTTTCATATTTGGTTTTTCATTTTTTCAATTATGATTTTGACGATTTTGCAATTTCTCGAGTTTCCTGTTTTCCATTTTTCAATTTTCCAACTTTTGAATGTTTCAGTTTTTAAAAATTTGCATTTTTCACTGTTCTGATTTTGTAATTTTCCCTTTTATTTTCAATGTGAAACTTTAAATTTTTGAATTTTGCAATTTTCCAGTTTTTCAACTTTTGGAATTTTTAATTTTTCCTTTCTTCAAATTTTGAGTTGCAATTTTTCTAGCTTTATTTGAAATTATTCTATTTTGCAATTGAAAAAATGGAAAAACTGAAATTTCAAAAATTGAAGAAAGGAAAACTTGAAAAATCGAAATTTTGTAAAATCTAAATACTAAATATTAAAGAAAGCGGAAAATCGGATAATTGAGAAATCCAAAAATTGCAAAATTGAAATATATAAAAATTAAAAATACGGAAATCGAGTTGAAAAATCAAAGACTGAAAATTTGAAAAAGTGAATGAAGAAAAGATTATAAAATCGAGAAAATGAAAATCAAAAAATTGTAAAATTGCAGAAAAAGGCAAAACGAAAAATTGTGAATCAAAAAATTGATCGAAGATAAATAAATCCAGACTTTTCGAAAAACTTAAGATTTTTTGATGATTATAAGTTAAAGTTTTTCCATTACAAAATTTTGTGATCCCCAAATTTTCGAGAAAATCGAGTGAGTTGTTCTTGATTTAATCAATAGAATAAACTATTCCATTCATTACTTCTTTTTGCGTCACCCTCTATTAGTAAAATTACTAAAAAAGACTTCAAAGCACTCGGTTTTGCAGTTACAAAGTTAAATTGCAATTATCATACAATTTAGATTTTTTCCAAAACTCAACACGGATTCATAAACCACAATTATAACTGGGTTCAGTTATCCACTGGGATTCCCGGCTACTGAATTATTCTAAATGCACCACTTGGATTGACCTTCAGCTTATTAATCTAACAACATTAAACTGCGTTTATTTTTGAATTTATGAAATGCGTAGCAACAATTTTGAAATACATTAATCCTGTTATTTTAACCTCTGATCGCGTTGTGCTAAAAATGTTTTTGATATGAGTAGCCTATTTTAGGGTAAACGAAGTATTTTAACATCACTCGGTATGAAATAAATAGTGTGTGTTCTACAAAATTGTTTAACAAAGTTGATAAATTTGAAATTTCCAATCGACAGACTGTCACAACAAACTATTAGATAAAATTGTAATTAGTTCACAACTTTATCATGCTTTTAAACGCTTGCCATAATTTCTTATCATATCTGTTGCTAATTTATATGTAATTTAGTGCTGTAATGGAACCTATTATTATAAACTTAAGCGAAAACAACAAAAATAAGTTACAATTTTTGAAAAAAAAAAAATGACCGTTTGTTTATCACGAGTTTATTTTTTATCCCGTAGATAGGAAAATTTAAATAATAAACAAACACATTTGTATGCTAAAATTGTTAAGAAAAAATTAAAATTTATTAGTCTGTGGATGTTTTCTACAACTCGTGAAAACATCAACACGCTCAAGATTTCATAAAAAGGGTCAAACTACGTAAAGATAACGAGTCCTAGACACAATTTGGCCCAATTTTCGGTTTTATTTTCTGATCAAAATCAACGTTAAACTTTGTTAAGCAAATATTTTCGTCTATTTAAATGTCAATATCAAAGGTTATCAGCGTCAAACAAAATAAACAATAGTGTTTATTTTATAAAACTTTAAATGAAGAAATTAGTTCGCAATTTCATCCTACAAGTTTAATGAAATAATAAATAATGTTGGGAAACCCCGTCATAAATGTGAATGCTAAATAATTACACCTCTGGCTAGCACGCTCTTGTTAATACCCACTCTTCGCATGATTCGCACGAATTTACATCTGCCACGTGCAAAAAAACAAGGACAAAATTGCCGAGTCCGGTCCTGGCACTTGACCAGTTTCAACTTTCAGCAATTCTGTGCAACCAGACTTCCTGGAATTCTTCAATCTCGGGTCATGTGTTCATGATTCAGCAAATGACGCAACAAAGAGACAAACCACGGTCATCAACAACAACGTCTTGACCGGGAAATTCGTGGAAAACTACCAAAATAAAACTAACCTTGTAAGCGCCCCATTGTTCTTGTACTAAGTCAAAAAACGACACTGCTTGGCTGCCAAGTACACAAATGGCTAGGAAAATTAGGAACTTCATTGTTCTGAAAAAAAAGCACGAATTAATAACAGGGGTGGTACAAAATGGTACAAGAAGAGGTTGGGTGTTGATTTGGTTACAAAAATGTAGAGGATTAAAGGGGAGACAAGAGAAAGAGTACAATTACTACAATTACCTTTTGTTGTTCGACTGTTGTGTTCACCTCGACAACAAACCAGAAAATGATTGTGGATTGCAATTATTCGCTGGACTCAAATTTGTTTTGTACATAAAGTCAGCTGACCACTAAGTGCCCCTTCCACTGCGCTGCCAACGTGAGGGGCGAAAGTCCCTAGACTCTCTAGATGGCGGAATAAATTTAATTATTAAATTGGAAAAACAAGAACAAATGTTTTTGTTAGTTAATACTTAATATTGGTGGTTAGTGAATCGTTATTTTAGATAATTTAGTTTTAATTGCAAAAATTACGAGCTTTGTGTATCGACCGGTGTCGCGGTTGGTACTTTTGGCGACCCTGAATGTCAAACGAATTTTGAATTTAGTGACTTTTATGTTAATACACAGTTTAAATAGATGTATTGTCGGTAATAATTGATAATGCGACACGGCTGTATCATAGATTAATATAGATGAGACATACAGGCTGATTTTGCAAAACCACCCTTATTGACATTGGAGTCCTCAACCGCCTAAGGCAAGCGCCAAATTTAAATGGTCTAAAACTTGTTTCACTACACAACTCGTCGCCTGAGAACTTGTTTGATCTACAGACCAGAGCGCGCTCAGGCCAATGTCGACTCTAAGCGTTCAGAAGCGATTTGGTTGGTTAGGACTATAATTGTAATAGTTGTTTGGGAATATTGTTGAAATCGTAATAACCCAATGGATTTTTTTCGGGAAAATGTTTTGAAAACACTGTGTTCTATTTTGTATGAATTTTTAAATGTTCTTAGTGACAATTTTTGTGGTTGTTTTCGATGCACTCTATATATTAACAGTGAGAAAAAAAAATGAAAAATTAAAATAATCGAAAAATCGAAATCTTAAAAAATCGTAAAACCGAAACATTGAAAAATCGAAATATCGAAGAACTGAAAATCGAAAAATGAAATATCAGAAAATCGAAAAAATGTAAAATTCAAAAATCTAAAATTTAAAAACCGAGTAACGAAAAATCGAGAAATCGAAACTCCCAAATTTAAAAAATCGGATAACTGAAAAATCGAAAAGTTGAAAATTGAACAATTTATAAATTGAGAAATTGACAATCAAAATATCGAAAAATTCAAATCTCGATAAATCGAGAAATCAAAAAACTTAAAAATTCGAAAAATTGAAAAATTGGGAGATTGAAAGATCAAAAGAACGAGAAATTGAAAAGTGATGAAGTCGAAAAATCGAAGAATAAAGTTAAAAAATTGGAAAAGCGGAAAAATCAAAAAACGAAAAAATGGAAAACTGGAAAAACTGAGAAACCGAAATAGGCCAACATAAAAAATTGAAAACATGATAAATCGAAAGCCTGAACAATCAAATCTCGATAACTCGGGAATGAAAAATTAACAAATCGAAAAATTGAAAAACAGAACATCTGAAACCAGGAAGTCGAAAAAGCGGAAGATTAAGAAATATTGAAAAATTAAACATAAGTCGAAAAATCTAAAATTTAATAATCCAAAAATTGAAAAATCGAAAACGTAAAAATATAGACGCATCGAAAAATCCAAAAGTCAAAAATGGAAAGGCCGAAAAATCGAAAAATCAAAAAAGTGAAGTCGAAAAATAGAAACCTTAAAAAATCGAAAAATTGAAAAATCAAAAACCTGAAAAATCAAAAAATTAAAGAATTGAAGAACCGGAAAATCGAGACACTCGAAGGTCAAGAAATGGGAAAATCAAAACATCGATTAATTGAAAAATCGAAAAATTGAGAGTTTATAAAAGTCAAATTTGAAAAATTAAATAATCGAAAATTTAACAAAATGATAATTGAAAAACAGAAAATCTAAAACCGGGAAATCGAAAAATCAAAAGATTAAGCAATCCAAAAATTGAAAAATTGAAAAAGTAAAAAAATCGAAAATACCAGAAGCCAAAAATCGAAGTCGAAGAATTGAAATATTGAAAAATCCCAAAGCTGAAAATATCGAAAAACTGAAAAATGGAAGAAAAACTGAAAAATGGAAAGCCTGAAAAAGTCGAAGAACAGAAATATAGAAAAATCCCAAAACTTAAATATCGAAAAACTGAAAAATGAAAGAAAAACTGACGAATCGAAAAACTAAAAAATCCCAAAATTAAAAAGTCGACAAATTAAGCAATCGAAAAATGCAAAAAGTGAAGTCGAAAAATCGAAACCTTAGTACTAAAAAACGAAAAATCGAAAAATTAAAAAATTGAAGAACAGGAAAATCGAAACACTCGAAGGTCAAGAAATGGGAAAATCAGAACATCGATTAATTGAAAAATCGAAAAATTGAGAGTTTATAAAAGTCAAATTTTAAAAATTAAAAAATCGAAAATTTGACAAAATGACAATTGAAAAAAAAATCCAGAAAATCTAAAACCGGGAAGTCTAAAAATTAAAAGATTAAGAAATCCAAACGTTTGGAAAATTCTGAAATGAAAAATCGAGAAATCGAAAAATCTAAAATTTTACAAATTAAAAAATCCAAAATTTAAAAATCGAAAAAGTAAAAAAATCGACACATCGAAAAATCCAGGAGTCAAAAATCGAATCGATTTTTTGAATTTCTCATTTCTCAATTTTTTGACTTTTCAGTGTTTCAATTCAAGTTTTTGAATTGAAATTTTTTTAATTTAAGACATTTCGATTTATCGATTTGTCGATTTTTCAGTTCTCCGATATATTTTTCAATGTGGCGGATTTTTAAATTTTTGATTTTTCAGTTTTTTGATGTTTCAATTTTTCGTTTTTACAATTTTTTTGATTTCTTGACGAACCGGTTTTTCTACTTTTAAAATTTTTCAAATTTTTGGATTTTTAGATTTCTCGATTTTTCGAGTTTCCGATTTCTCAATTTTTCAATACATGTTTTAATTTTTACAACTTTTGCATTTCTGGATTTTCAATTTTTCGGTTTGTAACGTTTCTAATAGTTCATTTTTACGGTTTTCTAATTTCTCAATTAACGATTTTTTTATTATCCCATTTTTCAATTTTTTGGCTTTTCGGTGGTTCGATTTTTCAGTTTTTCAATTAAATGTTTTGAATTTTCGTGTTGTCGTTCTTCCATTTTTCAATTTTTCAAATTTTCTATTATTCGACTTCCAGTTCTCGACTTTTCGATTTCTCAATTTGTCGATAAAATTTAAAAATCAAAAATTTAAAATTCGAAAAAGTAAAAAAATCGATACATCGAAAACTCCAGAAGCCAAAAATCAAAAAGTCGAAAAATCGAAATATTGAAAAATTCCAAAACTGAAATATCGAAAAACTGAAAAATGGAACACCCGAAAAATCTGAAAACTGAAATATCCAAAAACTGAGAAACCAAAAAGTTGAAAAATCCAAAAAATGAAGTCGAAAAATCAAAACCTTCAAAAAAGTGAAGTCGAAAAATCGAAACCTTAAAAAAACTGAAAAATCAAAAATCAAAAACCTCAAAAATCGAAAAATTAAAGAATTGAAGAACAGGAATATCGATCGAAACACTCGAAAGTCAAGAAATGGGAAAATCAAAACATCGATTAATTAAAAAATTGAAAAATTGGCAGTTTATAAATGTGAAATTTGAAAAATTGAAAGATCGAAAATTTGAAAAAACGGCAGATGAAAAACAGAAAGTCTAAAACAAGGACGTCGAAAAATCGATAGATTAAGAAATCAAAACATTTGAAAAATTCGAAAACTTGAAAAACTGAAATATCGAAGAACTGAAATGAAAAATCGAGAAATCGAAAAATCTAAAATTTTAAATATTGAAAAATTAAAATATCAAAAACTGAAAAATCTAAAATTTAAAACCGGGAAGTCGAAAAATCGAAAGATAAGAAATCTAAACATTTGAAAAATTGAAATGTGGAAGAGCTGAAATGAAAAATCGAGAAATCGAAAAATCTAAAATTTTAAATATTGAAAAATTAAAATACCAAAAAATTCTGAAAATCGAAAACTGAAACATCAGAAAATCGAAAAAATGTAAAATTAAAAAATCTAAAATTTAAAAACCGAATAACGAAAAATCGAGAAATCGAAACTCCCAAATTTAAAAAATCGGATAACTGCAAAATCGAAGAATCGAAAAGTTAAAAATTGAACAATTTATAAATTGATAAATTGACAATCAAAATATCGAAAAATCCAAATCTCGATAAATCGAGAAATCAAAAAACTAAAAAATTCGAAAAATTGAAAAATTGGGAGATTGAAAGATCAAAAGAACGAGAAATTGAAAAGTGATGAAGTCGAAAAATTGAAAAATATAGAAATCGACAAACAAAAAGTTAAAAGTTAAAAAATTGGAAAAGCTGAAAAATCAAAAAAAAAATTGAAAACTGGAAAAACTGAGAAACCGAAATAGGCCAACATAAAAAATTGAAAACATGATAAATCGAAAACCTGAACAATCAAATCTCGATAACTCGGGAATGAAAAATTAACAAATCGAAAAATTGAAAAACAGAACATCTGAAACCAGGAAGTCGAAAAATCGAAAGATTAAGAAATATTGAAAAATTAAACATAAGTCGAAAAATATAAAATTTAAAAATCCAAAAATTGAAAAATTGAAAAAGTAAAAAAATCGAAAACACCAAAAGCCAAAAATCGAAGTCGAAGAATTGCAATATTGAAAAATCCCAAAACTGAAAATATCGAAAAACTGAAAAATGGAAGAAAAACTGAAAAATGGGAAACCTGAAAAATCTGAAAACTGAAATATCCAAAAACTGAGAACCTAAAACGTCGACAAATCGAAAAATCCAAAAGTCAAAAATGGAAAAGTCGAAGAACAGAAATATAGAAAAATCCCAAAACTTAAATATCGAAAAACTGAAAAATGAAAGAAAAACTGACGAATCGAAAAACTGAAAAATCCCAAAATTAATAAATTGAGGAATCGAAAAATCAAAAAAATGAAATTGAAAAATCGAAACCTGAGAAAAAAGAATTGAAAAACCAAAAAACATGAAAAATCAATTAATAGAAAAATCGACAAATAAAGAGTTTATCAAAGTCCAAACTTGAAAAATCGAAATATTTGAAAATCGTAAAATTGAAGAAAACACCTGAAAACCGAGAAATTGAAAAATTGAGAAATTGTAAAATCCAAAAATTGAAAAATAAATAGGAGTAAACTGAAAAGTCCCCAAACTGCGAAAAAAAACGGTCAAAAATTCATAATCAAAAATGAGATTTTTGAAAAATTGCCTAAAAATTCTCTAAAAATCCTGGGATATAAATCTCGACAAGCTGATTCAACAAAATTAAATGTAATTAGTTTTGGCTTTAGATTTTCCAAAAATTCGGTTTGTAAATGAACGTTTTCTGTCTCGAAAATTTTTGTCTTATAGATTCTGGAAAAATTGTTTGAATTTCCCAAGAAATGAACCCTAAAATAAATTCTACGAGTCGGAATCTACAAGACAATGTGTTTAGCTAATTTTCTAATGTTGCGGAAAAATGTTTTGACCATTTTTCCGCAACATATTGAAAAATGAGATTTGTTGAGATTTGTCTAAAAATTCTCAAAAAATTCTGGCACATAAATTTCGACGAGCTGATTCGAAAAACTTGTGTAATTCGTTTTGGCTTAAGAAATTGCAAAAAATTTGGTTTGGAAATTAATTTTTTCTGTTTCGAAAATTTTTATCTTATCGACCCTGGCACAACTGTTGGAATTTTCGAAGAAATGAAGCCTAAAATAAATTCTGTGAGTCGGAATCTACAAGAAAATGTCTTCAGATAATTTTTTAATGATGCAGAAAAAACGGTCAAAAATTCATATTGAAAAATAGAATTTTTGAAAAATTGACTAAAAATTCTGTAAAAATTCTGGAATATAAATCTCAACGAGCTGATTCAAGAACAAAAACTGTAATTAGTTTTGACTCAAGAGTTTCAAAAATTCGGTTTGGAAATGATTTTTTTTATCTAGAATATGCTTATCTTATCGATTCTGGAAATATTGTTGGAATTTTCGAAGAAATGAAACCTAAAATAAATTCTGTGAGTCGGAATCAACAAGAAAATATCTTTCGGTAATTTTTTAAGGGTGCGGAAGAAACGGCCAAAAATTAATTTTGAAAAATTGCCTACAAATTCTCAAAAAATTCGGGATATAAATTTCGACAAGGTGATTCAAGAACATTAAGTCTAATTAATTTTCGCCCAAGATTTTCCAAAAATTCGGTTTGGAAATGAATTTTTTTTGTCTCGAAAATTTTTAAATTTTTATATTATCGATTCTGGAAAAATTGTTGCAATTTTCGAAGAAATGAAACTTAAAATAAATTCTGCGAGTCGGAGACTACAAGAAAATGTCTTTAGGAAATTTTCTAATGATGTGGAAAAAACTGTCAAAAATGCAAACTGAAAAATGAGATTTTTGAAAAATTGCCTCGAAATTCTCAAAAAATTCCAGGATATAAATCTCGACAAGGTGATTCAAGAACATTAAGTCTAATTACTTTTTGCTCAACATTTTCCAAAAATTCGGTTTGGAAATGAATTTTTTCTGTCTGGAAAATTTTTAAATTTTTATATTATCGATTCTGGAAAAATTGTTGGAATTTTAGAAGAAATGAAACCTAAAATAGATTCTGTTAGTCGGAATCTAGAAGAAAATGTCTTTAGGTAATTTTCTAATGATGCAGAAAAATTGGTCAAAAATTCATATTGAAAAATGAGATTTTTGAAAAAATGCCTCAAAATTCTAAAAAAATTCTGGAATATAAATTTCGAAGAGCTGATTCGAAAAACATCAAGTGTAATTAGTTTTAGTTCAAGATTTTCCTAAAATTCGGTTTGTAAATGAACGTTTCTGCCTCGAAAATTTTTATCTAATCGATTCTGAAAAAAATGTTGGAATTTTCGAAGAAATGAAGCCTAAAGTAAATTCTGCGAGTCGGAATCTACAAGAATGTTTTGAGGTAATTTTCTAAAGCGGTCAAAAATTCATATTGAAAAATGAGATTTTTGAAAAATTGACTAAAAATTCTCAAAAAATTCTGGGCTATGAATCTCGACGAACTAATTCAAGGACATTAAGTGTTATTAGTTTTGGCTCAAGATTTTCCAAAAATTCGGTTTGGAAATGAACTTTTTCTGTCTTGAAAATATTTTCTTATCGATTTTGGAAAAAATTGTTGGAATTTTCGAAGAAATGAAGCCTAAAATAAATTCTGTGCGTCGGAATCTACAAGAAAATGTTTTCAGGTAATTTTCTAATGATGCGGAAAAAATCTGTCAAAAATTCATATTGAAAAATGATTTTTTTGAAAAATTGACTAAAAATTCTCAAAAAATCGTGAGATATAAATCCCGACGAGGTAATTCAAGGACATTAAGTGTAATCAGTTTTGGCTCATGATTTTCCAAAAATTCGGTTTGGAAATGAATGTTTTCTGTCTTGAAAATATTTTCTTATTGATTTTGGAAAAAATTGTTGGAATTTTCGAAGAAATGAAGGCTAAAATAAATTCTGTGCGTCGGAATCTACAAGAAAATGTTTTTACGTAATTTTCTAATGATGCGGAAAAAACTGTCAAAAATTCATATTGAAAAATGAAATTTTTAAAAAATTGACTAAAAATTCTCACAAAATCCTGAGATATAAATCTTGACGAGGTAATTCAAGGACATTAAGTGTAATCAGTTTTGGCTCAAGATTTTCCAAAAATTCGGTTTGGAAATGAACTTTTTCTGTCTTGAAAATATTTTCTTATCGATTTTGAAAAAAATTGTTGGAATTTTCGAAGAAATGAAGCCTAAAATAAATTCTGTGCGTCGGAATCTGCAAGAAAATGTCTTCAGGTAATTTTCTAATGATGCGAAAAACTGTCAAAAATTCATCTTGAAAAATGAAATTTTTGAAAAATTGACTAAAAATTCTCAAAAAATCATGAGATATAAATCTTGACAAGGTAATTCAAGGACATTAAGTGTAATCAGTTTTGGCTCAAGATTTTCCAAAAATTCGGTTTGGAAATGAACTTTTTCTGTCTTGAAAATATTTTCTTATCGATTTTGGAAAAAAATTGTTGGAATTTTCGACGAAATGAAGCCTAAAATAAATTTTGTGCGTCGGAATCTACCAGAAAATGTCTTTAGGTAATTTTCTAATGATGCGGAAAAAACTGTCAAAAATTCATTGAAAAATGAAATTTTTGAAAAATTGACTAAAAATTCTCAAAAAATCCTGAGATATAAATCTTGCGGAGGTAATTCAAGGACATTAAGTGTAATCAGTTTTGACTCAAGATTTTCCAAAAATTCGGTTTGGAAATAAACTTTTTCTGTCTTGAAAATATTTTCTTATCGATTTTGGAAAAAATTGTTGGAATTTTCGACGGAATGAAGCCTAAAATAAATTCTGTGCGTCGGAATCTACAAGAAAATGTCTTTAGGTAATTTTCTAATGATGCGGAAAAAACTGTCAAAAATTCATATTGAAAAATGAAATTTTTGCAAAATTGACTAAAAATTTTCATAAAATTCTGGGATATAATCGTCGACGAACTGATTTGAAAAACATAAAGTGTAAGTGGTTTTGGATCTAGATTTTCCAAAAATTCGGTTTCGAAGTGATTTTTTTTTATTTTGAAAATCCATCTTTGGAAAAACTATTGCAGTTTTCGAAGAAATTAAGCCCAAAATAGATGTTATAGCCCAAAATCTACAAAAAGTGTCTTAAAGTATTTTTCCTATTCAAAAAATTATATTTACATTGAAAAATTGAGGTTTTTGAAACGAACTGATTCAAGAACATACATTTTTTCTGCCTCGAAAATTTGTATCTTACGATTCTGGAAAAATTGTTGGAATTTTCAAAGAAATGAAGCCGAAAATAAATTCTACGGTTCGAAATTTGGAAGAAAATGTCTGTACGTAATTCTGTTTGGAAATTATTTTTTTTTTATCTCGAAAATCGTTATCTCATTGTTTCTGGAAAAATGGTTGGAATTTTCGAAAAAATCAAGCCGATAGTAAATTGTACGAGTCGAAATCTACAAGAAAATGTCTGCAAAGAATTTTCGAATGGTGCGAAAAAACGGTCAAAAATTCATATCGGACAATTGTGATTTTTGAAAAATTGCCAAAAAATTTTCAAAAAATTCTGAGATATAGACCTTGACGAGCTGAACCGAAAAACATAAAGTGTAATTGGTTTTGGCTCAAGAGTTTCCAAAAATTCTGTTTGGAAATGATTTTTGTTTTTCGAAAATCCTTATTTTATCGATTGTGGAAAAATTGTTGGAATTTTCGAAGAAATGAAGCCAAAAATTAATTGTACGAGTCGAAATCAACAAGAAAATGTCCGTAGCGAATTTTGAAAGTTGCCCAAAAATCATCAAAAAATTGTAGGATATAAACCTCTATGATTTTTTTTTTAAAGTCTACAAAAAATGTCTTTCGGTAATTTTCCAAACGGCCAAAAAATCATATCTACATTGAAAAATTGAGGTTTTTGCCCAAAAAATCCTCCAAAACATCTAGAATATAGATCTCCTTGCCTAAAAATCTTTAAAAACTTCTAAGCTATACATTTCGACGTGCTGATTCGAAAAATATAAAGTGTTACAATTTTTACTCAGAAAATTGTCATTTCTAGTGATTTTGAAAAAATTGTTGAAATGTTCGCAAAAATGGTGCCGAAATATAAATAAATAAATAAATAAATATACGAGAAAATTTTCGAATAGTGCTGAAAAAATTCATAACTGAGATTTCTGAGAAGTTGTCTAAAAGTCTTAAAAAAAAATCTATGAAGTCAAAAAAACAAACTCTGTGGTGTAGACAAACACAAAAAAAAATTATAAGTTGTGAAAACACATTTACAGGATATCATTTAGCTTCTTACACTGTTACTGGTATTACTTACCTATATTTGTTTAAATTTATAGAGGTTATTACAAATTAAATTTCCCAAAGAGCGCTGAGTTATCATTTCTTCTTCTGGTATTCGATCCCACTTCTGACGCTTTTTACTTAACTTATTAAAAAACAATTACTTATAGTAAAAAACTGTATTTGTTCATTTAGCTCAAAAGCAATATCAAAATCGCAAAAATCATAAGCAACCTAACCTAATATTCGACTTCTATTTCGAATTCGAACTACGACCCCTTTAAGCGGCTTAAACAAGAGGATAACTGGCAGCCGTGGCAATTCCGCAATTATTATTACGATTGCGGGCCATCTTGATGTATCCTTGCGTCCCCCAGGTCTTCCCCCACGAGTTCTTGACAATCCAGTAGTTTTTACCATTATCCGCCCCATACCCCACAACCAAGACTCCGTGGTCTAGCATCTTCGAGCTGCATTTGGGCTCGTAGTACACCCCACTCTTGTAGTGCATGAAACTTGGTCTGCTGGCATCTATAGCGACCGAAATCGGCCCAACGGTAGCAACAGCACTCTGAAGATCCTGTTCGCTGCCATGTGGCACATCCACGAAACCGCGATCAGTAGCCCCCCTATTCTTGGGGTTGTATTGGCACTTGCCATCCTTGGCCTTATACGGATAAGACGCTTCGGTGTCGATTCCCCCGTTAGCTTCGATGTAGCGGAAAGCATAGTCCATCAAACCACCGTGGCAACCCTTGTTGCCGTATTTTTGGGAGCAGTCCACCAGGTTCTGCTCGCTGAGGGACACCAGTTTGCCGGTTTTGCGGAAGGTCTGGCCTTCCAAGGAGCCGGTCTACAAATGGTCGAAATTTAGTCGCGCTTAAACTTATTTTAGCTAATTAAATATTAATTAGTACTAACAGCGCTGAAAGCCCAGCACGATCCACACTGTCCTTGGTCTTTCACTCCCGTAACCGCCCCCTTCGTCCTCCAGTCTACGTCAGTGGGCAGTTCAACGTTAGCTGGGGGGATGAACGTGACGCTATCTTTCATCTCGCTTCCTCTCATTGCAGTTACATTGAAACTGTTCATGATCTGGATGAACTCCTGGTGCAGCATGTCGGAGTATTTGTTGATGCCCATTTCGTACGTGACCAAGCCCTGGGCGTACAGTTTGTTATGTTGGGCTATTTGGTGGGAGTTTTCCATGAAAATTTTCATGCGAAAGCGTTCTTCGATTTCGCTTTGGTATTGTTTGTTGTAGGTCAGCTGCAAACATAGAGAATTTCGAGTGCCTGTACAAATATTTAAAAAACAACATCTGTATGTAATCAAACAAATATCTTATTTAAATTTAGAAAATTCTGAGAAAGGGTTATCTTGACTATTTGTGAAGTTTATTTATAGTGTCGTTCAATCTAAAGTTTATATTTATTCATAAGGTGTGGTCAGAAGCTGATAACTGGAAATTGGCCGAGTGTTACTGGGAGGATAATGTCTGCATAGCAACAAACGGGGAAATCCCGGATACAAGTTATAGTTCGAAGATTAATGAAAAAATCAAAATAAACCAACCTTATAAGTGGCCCATTGCTCTTTTACTAACTTAGAAAACGACACTGCTTGGCTGCCAACCACACAGATCGCTAACAAAATCTGGAACTTCATTGTTCTGAAAAATAAAAAACACGAACAAATGGGTTACAAAACGGTACAATGATGTAAACGTAAAGCAAAGTCAAGAAAAAGATAATAATTACTTGTTCTTCTCAAGTGTTGTGTTCACCTCACCCACTAAACACAAAATGACAGCGAAGCAAAAAATATCAAGATTCAAATTTGTTTGTAGATAAAATCACTCAGGGAGTGTCCGCTGCGGCTGCATTGCCAACCCGCGCAGCGAAATTTCCCAGATAAAAAAGAAAAACTCAAAATTTCGCCATTTCACAACTTTTGGAAATAGCGTTCAACATTTTTTATTTCTATTGTTATAGACTATTTAAATCCCATAAATTACGTTTCGTCTGGTGTATAGACAACCCAATAAACCGATTGATATGTTTTATGTCAATTGTCAAAACATAACCTACAAAAAATCCGTGAAACTTTCAAATCTTTAACTCGCGATGAGTTTGACGGAGCGAAATAAGACCAGCATTCGAGATAAGCCCCTACCCTGAGAAAAATTAAGATTTTTGAAAAAAAATTCAAAAAATTGTGTCTTTCCAAAAATTCTGCTTGTGAATTATTTTTTGTATCTCGAAAATCGTTATCTTATCGATTCTGGAAAATTGTCCCAATTTCTGGAGAAATCATACCGAAAATAAATTCTACGAGTCGAAATCTACAAGAAAATGTCTTTGGGTAATTTTCGCATGATGCGGAAAAATGGTCAAAAGTTCATATTGAAAAATTGAGATTTTTAAAAAGGTGCCTAAAAATTCTAGGGATTTTGTTGAAAACGGTTGACAGCCATGAAATTAAGCATTTAACTTTGAGTTTGGTCTTTTGTTGGGAAAAAAATACAAAATTCAAATTTTACGTATTAACCTCACTCAGGTTTTCCATTATTTGTTGAAAATAAATTTACACTGAGAAAGAAATATACTCCGGTTATCGAACAGATGGAGTTGTAAAAGTGCGTAAGTAAATGAAAATGGAAAAATTGAAAAACAAAAAAATTGGGAAATAAAATTTAAATGCGAAAATTCAAAAATTGTAAAATACAAAAATTACACTGCATTGTTTTAAATCGAAAAAAAGTTTGGAGATCGAGAAACTGTAAAAAAGAAAAATTAAAAACCGAGAACTTGACAAATCGAAAAACTGAAGATTTAAAAATTTCAAAAGTTTCAAAATCGAAATATTAAACATCGAAAAGTCGAAACACTGAAAAATCGAAGAGGCGAAAAATCGGGAACTTCAAAAATCGGAAAGTCAAAAAATCGAAAAATGGCGATTTCTCCATTTTGAAAAATCCAAGAGTTAACAAATCACAAATCGGGAAGTCGAAAAACAAAAGCCCGAAAGAATTGCTCAATTCGAAAATCGAAAAATCCGAAAATTGGAAAGTGAAAAAGTAGAAAAATCAAAATCGGGAAATCGGAAAATCGAGAAATCGTAAAATCGAAAAGTCGGAGTTTCCAATACGTAAAAAAGAGAAATTCAAAAATGGATCGTCGAAAAATCCAAAAATTCACAAAACGAAAAGCCGAATTCGGAAAATCGAAAAATCTGAAAGTCGAAACATCAAGAAATTGAAAAGTCTAGATTGAGAAAAGTAGAAATTGAAATATTTTAAAGTCGAAAAATCCCATGATCAAAAAAGTCCAAAAATCCAAAAATTGAAATTTTGAACAATCTAAAAACTCAAAAATCGAAAATTTCAAAAATCTAAATATCGATAAATCAAAAAATCCAAAACCCCAAAAATTCGAAATTTCGAAGTCGAAAAATTCAAACATTGTCTCCAAAAATCGACAATTCTAAAAATCAAAAAATGAGAAATATACTCCGTTTATCGAACAGATGGAGTTGTAAAAGTGCGTAAGAAAATGAAAATGGAAAAATTGAAAAACAAAAAAAAAAAGTGAAATAAAATTAAAATGCGAACATTCAAAAGTTGTAAAATACAAAAACTACATTGCAGTTTTAAATCGAAAAATTGAAATATGGAAAATTTCGAACATTTTAAAAATTCCAAAGTTTGAAGATCGAGAAACTGTAAAAGAGAAAAATTAAAAACTGAGAACTTGACAAATCGAAAAACTGAAGATTTAAAAATTTCAAGTTTAAAAATCGAAAAATTAGACATCGGAAAGTCGAAACATTGAAAAAGCGAAAAGGCAAAAAATCGGGAATTTCAAAAAGTCGAAAAATTCAGAAAAAAATTTATCGAAAAATCGGGAAATTGAAAAATGGGAAATCGAAAAGTCAAATCGAAAAATGGCGATTTCCCCATTTTGAAAAATCCAAAAATTAACAAATCACAAATCAGAAAGTCTAAAAATCGAAAACTCGAAAGAATTGGGAAATCCAAAAATTGAAAAATATGAAAGTTGGAGAATTGATCAATCCAAAAATCGAAAACTCTAAAAATCAAGAAATGAGAAAGAAATATACTCCGGTTATCGAACAAATGGAATTGTAAAAGAGCGTAAGTAAAGGAAAATGGAAAAATTGAAAAACAAAAAAAATGTGAAATAAAATTAAAATGCGAAAATTCAAAAATTGTAAAGTACAAAAATTACATTGCAGTTTTAAATCGAAAAATTGAAATATGGAAAATTTCGAACATTTTAAAAATTCCAAAGTTTGAAGATAGAGAAACTGTAAAAGAGAAAAATTAAAAACTGAGAACTTGACAAATCGAAAAACTGAAGATTTAAAAAAGCGAAAAGGCAAAAAATCAGGAATTTCAAAAAGTCGAAAAATTCCGAAAAAAATTCATCGAAAAATCGGGAAATTGAAAAATGGGAAATCGAAAAGTCAGATCGAAAAATGGCGATTTCCCCATTTTGAAAAATCCAAAAATTAACAAATCACAAATTGGAAAGTCGAAAAATCGAAAGAATTGTGAAATCCAAAAATTGAAAAATAGGAAAGTTGGAGAATTGATCAATCCAAAAATCGAAGTGAAAAAGTGGAAAAATCAAAGTCTAAAAATCGGTAAATCGGAAAATCGAGAAATCGAAAAGTCGAATTCGGAAAATCGAAAAATCTGAAAGTAGAAACATCAAGAAATTGAAAAGTCTAGATTGAGAAAAATAGAAATTGAAATATTTTAAAGTCGAAAAATCCAAAAATTGAAATTTCGAACAATCTAAAAACTCAAAAAATCGAAAAAATGTTAAGTTGAAAATTCGAGTAATCCAAAAGTCAAAAAATTAAAAAAGCGATAATTTGAAAAACCCAAAAATCGGTAAATCAAAAACTCAAAAATTCGAAATTTCAAAGTCGAAAAATTCAATAATTGTATCAAAAATCGAAAACTAAAAATCAAGAAAAGGAAAGATCCAAAAATCGAAAAATTAAAAAATCACAAATCGAAAAGTCGAAAAATCCAAAAATAGATAACTCCAAAAATCCAAAAACTTGAAATCGAATTGAAATTATTCAGAAATGTGAAAGTCGAAACATCAAGAAATTGAAAAGTTTAAATTGAGAAATTTAGAAATCGATATATTGAAAAGTTTAAAAATCCAAAAATCGCAATTTCGAAAAATCCAAAACTCGAAAAATCGAAAAGTCTAGAGAAACTCGAAAGAAAAAGAGAAATTCAAATGTCGAAATAGCGAAGAATTGATCAATCCAAAAATCGAAAAATCTTAGAATCGAAATCGTAAAAAAGAGAAATCAAAAATTCGACAAAACGGAAAGTCGAAGTTGGAAAATCGAATAATCTGAAAGCTGAAACATCAAAAAATTGAAAAGTCTAAATTGAGAAAACTAGAAATTGAATATTTTAAAAGTCGAAATATCCAAAAATCAAAAAAGTCGAAAAATCCCAAAATTGAAAAAACCTAAAACTCAAAAAATCGAAAAAAGGTAAGTCGAAAATTCGAGAAATAGAAAAGTCAAAAAATCAAAAAAATCGAAATCTGCAAATCTAAAACTCGGAAACTCAAAAATTCGAAATTTCGATGTCGAAAAATTCAAAAATTGTACCAAAAATCGAAAACTAAAAATCAAGAAAAGGACAGATCCAAAAATCCAAAATTGGAGATTTCGAAAAAGCGAAAAAAAATCAAAAATCGAAAAGTCGAAAAATCCAAAAACTGAAAGTCGAAATGGAATTATCGAGAAATGTGAAAGTCGAAACATCAAAAATTTGAAAAGTCTAAATTCAGAAATATAGAAATCGAAATATTGAAAAGTTTAAAAATCCAAAAATCGCTTTTTCGAAAAATCCAAAACTCAAAAAATCGAAAAGTCTAGAAATCGAAAACTCGAAAGAAAAAGAGAAATCCAAAATTCGAAATATCGAAGAAGTGATCAATCCAAAAATCGAAAAATCGTACAATCGAAATCGTAAAAAAAGAGAAATTCAAAAGTGGATAATCGAAAAATCCAATTGGTTTTGGCTCAAGATTTTACAAAAATTCGATTTGAAAAATATTTTTTTATTTCGAAAATTTTTGTGTTATCATTTGTGGAAAAATTGTCGACATTTTCGAAAAAATGACGCTAGTAAATAAATTCCATGAGTCGAAATCTAGAAAAAAATATGGTTCTGTAATTTTCGGATGACGAGGAAAAAACGGTCGAAAATTCGTATTGAAAAATCTCAATTTTTGAAAAGTTGCCTAAAAATCCTCAAAAAATTCTGGGCTAGCAATCTCGACGAGCTAATTAGAAAAAGATAAAGTGTTACTAGTTCCGGACCAAGGTTTTCGAAAAATTGTTGAAATTTTCGAAAAAATGATGTCGAAAGGACCAGAAATGCACGAGCATTCATCGAAAAATCCAAAAATCCACAAAACGAAAAGTCGAATTCGGAAAATCGAAAAATCTGAAAGTTGAAACATCAAGAAATTGAAAATTCTAGATTGAGAAAAGTAGAAATTGAAATATTTTAAAATCGAAAAATCCCAAAATCAAAAATGTCCAAAAATCCAAAAATTGAAATTTTGAACAATCTAAAAACTGAAAAAATCGCAAAAATGTTAAGTCGGAAATGCGAGAAATCCAAAAGTCAAAAAATTAAAAAATTGAAAATTTTAAAAATCTAAAAATCGATAAATCAAAAAATCCAAAACCCAAAAATTCGAAATTTCGAAGTCGAAAAATTCGAACATTGTATCCAAAAACCGAAAACTCTAAAAATCAAGAAATGGAGAAATCCAAAAATCGAAAAATGGAGATTTCGGA